TTTTAAATACTGCTGCCTAGATAGGTACCTGCCTGTCACACGACTTAAATTAGTTTGCGCACGCATTGTTTTTTTTTTTCAGAATGCTCACCAGTTATTGTAGAAACCGTTTTATTAGCTAGCCACAACTTGATTAGTCTGTCGTGATGAGATCGTAACTGTGTAAAGTTACAATTCACTCTACCTCCTCATTTATAAGTGACAGGCGTTTAATTAACCACCTGCCTGTGAATTAAACAGGGTTATAGGGAGTGACGGTAATTCGTAACTGAATATTTTAGGTCCACTCAAACTTAGCAAAGTTCATTAAAGTCTTTGATTGAGAGATTCTCGAGCATACTAAAAGCCAAGCTTGTTGTGTTGAGCTGTTGCTTTGACGTGGTGGATAATTATTTAGTAAGTACTTTTCTGTGCAGTTAAAAAACATAGAACATTCATTATTTACCTTTAAGAATATTTTTAGTTTCCACCCAGTCGCGATGAGGCGGGGGAGTAGGTGCATAATCATTTAGATCAAAAGTTCTAAGGGACCAATAACGGCAAAGAGTTACAACTATTTTAAAAGTAAAAAAAAAACAGTAGTTTAAAGTGCGTCGTCACCTTCGCTTCTGTTTTCATTGCGGTCATGTGGTTATGCTATGGCGCATTTGCGGAAGTGTCATATGGGAAGTCAGTCACGTATTTGAAAATCAATATGGCGACTTTTCGGCGCTAGGTTCAAAAACTTTACAGTAGCTATACCTACTGCTTTTTACTTTTATATGTATACAAAAGAAAAGTGTTTCTTTTTACTACTGAACTTAGAAACTGATTGATGATTACTAATGTAGTCCATAAGTCCATAGTAACTATTTTGTTCCCTAAATAAATTGACTTGATTGGATTTAGTAAAGTAACTATTAGGTATGTGATTCTGAGTATGGCGGTAGTGAATTATGAAGCAGATTTGAAGAAGTTGACATTCATATGACTTTACTACACAAAAAAAATATGACTGTTAACTTTAAAATAACTACACTAAATTATAAGCATTTAGGTAGGTACAGCGTGTGTATACACAACAAATAGGCATCAGGTAGCTTGACCATAAATGACAATAAAATAACTTTTTTAGTTTATCAGTTCCTCTTTTAGAATCAGGAAAATTAAGATTCAGTATAAATTAATTAGTCTCAGGATATAAAATACTTTTTTTACTATTATGGTCATAGAAGGAAAATCATGACAAATGCTAATTATTTTTTATCACTTGTTCTGAATGAACAAAAAATCTGTATGTGAAACTGAATGAAAAAGAGTAACCATGGAGTTTCTTGTTCAATCTTCTCCATCGGAATCTCCATATTGGAACAGGCAAATAGCTTTACTAAGGGGGCTGACCGACAGACAGAATGTGCCATCAATTTAAGAAGAAAGTCAAATGAGTTAACAGTTTGAGAGGTAATATAATAATTACTTAAAAAAAATAAACATTCATACAAAAAAGAAGTAAATATCCACTACTCAATGTAAAAGAGGATAGGCAATTATGATCAATGACTGCAATCACATATAGCACCTATCACTAAGGCTAGGTTGTAGATCACAATTTACAAGATTCATAAGAGAAAGGTATATCAAAATGTCTCTTGATTGCTTCTGCTTAGAGATGTAAAGTGTTCGACATGTTATATGTGACCGATTAATATGATGGAGCCTGACGGAGCATATTGGACATTTATCCAATTTGACCGGTCACTGATTGTCATTTATTGTCAGCAACGTCACAATCGTTTTCTTTGTACAAATAGACTTTATTCTATATTTCTGTGCAAGTTTTAGAATCATCGAAGCTAACCGCTTGTCCTTGATTTCCTTTGATTTCGCTGACACTCAATGATTATAACTTATTTTTTGTTGGTATACATAAATAAAAATAAATACCTACCTACTTAGAGAGTCTATCTTTTTTAAAATATTATCTATGCACATGTTGGTTGAGAAACTGAATAGGTATTATTTCACATACATAAAGTTTTTAATTTGCTTGACACGAAAATAATAGTTACGCCAAGTAGCTAATACTAATGTAGCGGCACGATCACGTCGCTACATTACTTAGATACGATAGAGATAAGACACACATGTTAATTGTTGCACGTTTGTTAGGATAGCTAAATCTGAAAATCTCACGCATCTTCTTAGTATATAAGCACCAGCAATTAAAGTAATAAACAGACCTTAACCATCTACAGTCTCATTATTTACCTTGCCACGAAGTCTGGCAAATTGGTGACCCGACGAAGAACAATCAACATGACTCATTCACCCTGCAAATCAAGCAGCAGCCAACAAGAAGCCTTGGAGATATCAGCCGGAACCGGAATTTTGGAGGGACCAACCCAGATTATGGTTTAAGCAACTAGAAGCCATAGTAGCACCACAGAAGCAAGGAGACGATTACAAGTACTATACGGTCATTGCAAAACTGCCAAAAGAAGAAATAATACAGGTTAGTGACCTCATTACTTGCCCACCGCCAATAGAAAAGTACAAGGCTATCAAAGAACGCCTAATCAGTTGCTATGAGGAATCAGACCAACGTCAGCTCCAAAAATTATTGTCTGAAATGGATCTCGGCGACCAGAAACCATCACATCTTCTGCGCAAGATGCGGACCCTGAGTAACGGAAATATCAGCGACGAAACCATCAAACTTCTATGGTTGAGGCTTCTGCCACCATCAGTGACTTCGGTTCTAGCAGTCACAGAAGACATAGATGTGAACAAGATGAGCCAGATCGCGGACAAGATATTAATAAATTCAACACGTACAGAGGTGTCAGCTGTAAACGGAAACAAATCTGGCGACGATACAATGTCATGCATACTAGCACAGTTAGCAGAAATGCAATTGGAACTAAATGCAGTTCAGCAAGGTCAAAAAAAAAAAACTATCGACGCAGCACTCAAAGTTATTCCAATCGTCGGCATTTCCTACCACAGTCAAGTTCAAGAGAAAGAAGGCACTTTTGTTTTTACCATGGAAGATTTAAAAAATATGCACAAAAGTGTGTTCAACCTTGTGATTGGAAACAGGATCTCAACTCAAGGAAACAGGGAAACTAATTGAAGCACGAACAACGGCGGAACTCTGTGCTATTCACCCGTCCAACCGCCTCACTATTACCGACCGAAAAAGTGGTATGAGATTTTTGATTGACACGGGAGCAAATATTTCAGTTATTAGCAAGCCACAGAGACATTCACTAATACAAGATGAACAATGTATACTTTGTGCCGCCAATGGTACAAAAATTAAGACATATGGTGAAAAAACACTCTCTTTAAACTTCGGGCTACGAAGAAACTTTGTATGGAACTTTGTCATCGCCGATGTAACACAACCGATTATTGGAGCAGATTTTTTTAGAGCATTATAAGCTATTAGTCGATATAGCTGGTCGAAAACTCATAGATAGGGTAACTGAGCTGACAACGCCCGCAACCCTGATCAAATCGACGCAGCAAACAATCCGCACTATTAACATTGAGACGAATCCACGCATTACTCAACTATTAAATGAATACGAGGATATTACGAAACCAGCCTCCCTCCACACTACTCCAAAACACAAGATTAAGCATCATATTATCACTAAAGGACCAAGGAAAATATAAGGAACGCAGTATTAACAGTTCACCCCTCTCGCACCGCCCCTTTGGCACTTATGACGGACGCCAGTTCGACCTGTGTTGGCGCAGTTCTGCAGCAGAAGTCAGGACGTAATTGGGAACCATTAGGATTCTTTTCAAAGAAATTAAGTGATACTCAACAAAAATACTCGACATTCGACAGAGAGTTGCTCGGAATATATATGGCAGTCAAACATTTTCAAAGGTTAGTCGAAGGAAGAGAATTTACTATCTTTACAGATCATCGACCTTTGACTTACGCATTTTCCCAAAAACCGTCATCTAATGATACGCCACGGCGAATACGACAACTGGATTTTATTTCACAATATTGTACCAACATTCAACATATAGAAGGACGTGACAATATTGTAGCAGACGCATTGTCACGGATAGAACAAATTGATGTGCCATCACCGATTAATTATGCTGATTTAGCAAGATGTCAGTTAAGGTTAAGTTATTATATAATTAGGTACATACTAATTTTTTTCAATTTATATGTTAATTATTTTTAAAAGGGGGGAGTATATGTAGCGGCACGATCACGTCGCTACATTACTTAGATACGATAGAGATAAGACACACATGTTAATTGTTGCACGTTTGTTAGGATAGCTAAATCTGAAAATCTCACGCATCTTCTTAGTATATAAGCACCAGCAATTAAAGTAATAAACAGACCTTAACCATCTACAGTCTCATTATTTACCTTGCCACGAAGTCTGGCAAACTAATTTAATATATCTGACCAATATGATGAATGTGATCTGTCATTTATTATTAATTGACGGATGCTTATCGTATGTGACCATCAGTTTACAACACTACTTCTGCTAACACCCATGGAAAGAGTTTGACTGTGGGATCTCTATGCAATGGAATTTAGCTTGTCAAGCAACATTTCTTTCATAAAACACATTAACATTATGCTATTACCTTTTTATCAAAAATGTTGAATAAAAATATCTACCTAGGTAGGTAAAAAACAATTATTAGAAGGATTATGCACAAAATGACTTTAGATTATCTAATAAAAATAGATTTTTTATAATTTTAAATTTATTTTAATATCAAATAATTATATATATAGTAAATAATATAGTTAGCAAACTTTGTTAAGAAACTTCTATCTAATTTTAATAAAATTTACAAAACTTACTATTCAAGCAAAATAAACATAGTAACATTTGATTACTTTTTTATTAACATTGATAATTTTTGTCAGTAGGTGTGTTTATCTACAACAAAAGTGTATCAAAAGACTTGTCAGATTATTTTGATTTGGATAGTTCTAATAAAGGCAATTTATTTTAGTGACTTACCTGTACTATTTATTGATGATGTAGGATGTACTATGTAGAATAGTAATAAGATAAAACTTCCGTAAAACTGTTTGCATTGCATCTTGGACCACCGTTCCAATTCTTCCATGACACGTTAGATTTTCTTGTTTCGTGTTTAACACACTTTTGTTTACATTTTCTCAATATTTAGACACCATAACACATCTTTGTGGAACTATGTAGAGAGTTCCGTCATTGTAAATCGGTTGCTAGGATTTTAGTAGTCACAACATTCGTTATACACCTGTGGAATTCGCTCGCCTTGCAACTATGAACAAGGTAGGAATTACTCACAACTTCATAAGTTCACTCAACTTTGTACATATAAATACTGAGTTATTCAACCTTATACACATAATAACATCCCACTTTTATAACTAATGAAAAAGTTTAAGTGTGAAAAACATCTCTAAATTATTTTTGAAAGTTTTATAAACTTCGAAAGTTTCATGACATGAACTTCGTTGCACAATCGTCCGAAGGACGCGACTTCACTTGACGAGCAAAACGGAACGGGTACCGACGGCAAAAAATGTTTTTGTTTCGTTTCCTTTGATCTATGTTCGGTAAAGTTCGGCAACAGTCGGTAACTCAGTCGCACTATTCGACTCGAGTCGAGATAGATTTAATTTAGTCGACTATAGCATAACTAAAATGATTATGAAGTGCAAGAGAACGAAAGATCATTTTATTAAAAATAGTAGGACTAATGAAAACGAGATCTTTTTAGATTATAAAATTCTACAGGATGAGAATATAAAAAAATACGAGTATACAACTACAGATAAAAAACTGAAAAAGGTTTATCAATGTCAAAATCGTTGAGACAAACAAATATATTGAAATCCTAAATTATTACTAAAAAGACCAGAATTACCAAAGTTAATGTTAAACTGCATATTAAATCAATATTGTTCCAGGATCAAAAAAACTGTATTTTATTTTTCTATATATAATCACTTTATTTAATATTGGAAAGGTGGACTAAAATATTTCAGTAAAATAAAATAAAAAAATTGAATTTCGATTTTAATTGTTTTTTTTTGGATTTTTAGTAAGTTTCGAATGTTTTAGTCGATTTTTATGAAACACCTCTAAGCCGCCATCTCTTTGATAATTCTTTCTGAGTGTTCTGTCATTTCGGTTCGCTGAGGCGGGCATTAAATCCTAGGTAATCTTTGTTTTTAAAGCCGTAAAATTAAAAGAAAGTAGCTAATATTGCAAAGAATTACTTGTGGTCTTAATATCAATTCATATTTTAGTCAAAATCGTCAATGTTCAGTGATAACCTCATATGATCACGGTGTTTTGACATATCTTCGTGCAGATGTGAAGTTCCTTGTTTTAATTTTTTCGGTAACACAAATTGCTGTTTATATTTCAGCCATGGTGCGAATGAATGTATTGAGTGATGCCCTCAAATCAATCCACAATGCCGAGAAGCGCGGCAAAAGACAAGTGCTTATCCGGCCTTGTTCCAAAGTAATCGTCAAGTTCTTGACTGTGATGATGAAGCACGGCTACATCGGCGAGTTTGAAATCGTCGATGACCACAGAGCTGGAAAGATTGTTGTAAATCTGACCGGCAGATTGAACAAATGTGGAGTCATTTCACCCCGCTTCGACGTTCCCATCAATGACATCGAGAGGTGGACTAACCTACTACCGTCACGACAGTTCGGGTAAGTTATTTATCTCTTTACATGGTCAAATCAATTGCGATAAGACAATAAACCTCAGAATTGGACTGCTGTCAGCCATGAGAATCTCCAGATCATTTTGTTTATAAGTTCTGGAGTCTCTTCGTTAAGGTTATGTTCTTTACATTCTGTCTCGTTAGTGAACTAATTTCTGAAATTTTCTAGTTACATTATGTCTATTGTGTTATTTTTTATTTTGAAAGTGTGAGACTCGAGATCAGTAATAATAAATCTCAGATTTTGTCCAAACATGTTTAGGAAATATGCATTGCTTAAAAATATTACAGTCTTCAGTACTTGAACTACTCACAATGATTATGCATTGGAATTCATGGTTTATAACAACTTACGGACAAAATCCAAATGTAAACAAAACATGCAGTTGAAAATTGTTTGCTGAGTTAATGAGCCATACTCCTTTAGCTTTTATATATCACAATTATAAGAAGTGCTCATTACTACTTCATTTTAAGGTTGGCATTACATGCTTTCCAGACTGAATTAGTTTTTTGTAGTTATAAATTACATCGGTCCTACAATAACCTAAAACTCAACAAAATTTATGACTGAATTGAAATAATTATAAAAATATTAAGAAAGATTAAAAATATTCCTTAATATTATGCTTCCTTTAGATTGACTAAATTACTGTAATTAATATATTTTTAAATGGTACTAATATCAACTTCACACAGTTAGATACAGTTGAAAAACTACATTTAGAGCAGTCTTGATATTGCGTCAGTGGGTCTTAAGGACAGATATTGCAGTTAAGTTACTTGTATGCTAAGCTACTAGGCCAGTTGCATAGTTCTAGGACAATTCAGTTTTGTATGTCTGCAATTAATTGATAGTATATTAATAGTTGAATTTATTGATTGAATATTGCTGTTGACACACTTCTAATGGTAGAGTCACTGTCCAAATAACTTCATCTATAACTAGTTAAAAGTCACTTTGATGTAGTAAATTTTTCTGCCATCAGTGAAGATAAATTTTGATTACTTTCCCAACAGTTTGTGTGAATTGGTGTGTTGTTATAATTCATATATTCTGCATAACTACCGCGGATCGCCAATAGTCCTTGTTGGTCGTCATTTGACATGTTATGCTAAATTGAGTAAAATGTCACACATTGATATCTTTTATTATAATGGATATTGTTTGTGATATTTTAAACATGTTTTCTACTCATAAGGTCATAACTATAATAAGTTTGCAAAAACCAATCTAAAACTTTTTCATTTCTTTTGATTTCAGCTACCTGGTCCTCACAACCAGTGGTGGAATTATGGACCATGAAGAAGCCAGAAGGAAACATCTTGGAGGAAAAATCCTAGGCTTCTTTTTCTAAGTTTACTCAATAAAAATGAAAATGTACCTAGTTGTTTAATTTTTACATAATGTAGGTAGGCGAAAGTAGGTAGGTTGTAACAGTTCCACATAATCAGCATATGGTACCACTGCTGAGCAAAGGTCTCACACGGAGAAGGTTTGAGCATTAATCACCACACTTGCTCAAAAGGAATTGGTGATTTCAAACTTATTTATTAGAAATCATAAGTCCAGGTTTCCCCACGATGTTTTTCTTCACTGTAATTCAGTGGTGTCTAAATTATTAGAAAGTACATACAACTCAGAAAAAGCACATTGGTACTTGCCAGGTTTTGAAACTGCACCCATGAGAAGATTCATGAGAAGCAGGCTCCTTAACCTCCAGAACACCACAACTTTGTTACTTGTCAAGAAGAGTAAGAAGTAGCATTCCCAGTTACTTGGAATTTTAAAGTGATAGGGCGCCAAAGGAACCTATTGATTTCCTGTACCGACGCCATAGGCATTTCGAGTATGTTGCTGGCATTTTGGTGATTAAGGATATATGAAAACTAGGTAATGGCCAAACGTTAGCGTAGCGGAAACTTGAATTTCTCCGAAGTTTATGCATGCACTAGTTTTATTCATACATACACAATTACACACAAATACGTGTCCGTTACCCAGGCCAGATGTTGTCGACAATGGTCATTTGAATCTTATAGATAATTAGTTGTGCGGCTTCTGTAATTGTTGCGCACATTTTTAAATTTGTTGCGCTTATAGTTTTTTAATTATTTCACAAAAACATTTCCTGCTGGCGTAACGTTACCACAGCCAGACCTTTTTATTTCTAATGGGAATATTTAAATAAATATTAGCTTTAAAATTAGTTGTCTAGATAAAGTAAATGTTGTGCCTTATTTTGTATTTGTTCTTTCTTCGGTTGCGAAGTTATTCGAGATTTTGCTGCGGTAACGTTTTTGGTTTTGCTAGATCTTTGAAATGGTTAAGCGGATTCTTATCATATTTTGTACACGACTTCCGAGGACTTAGTTTAAATTTGTTGTGCAATAACAAAACTAAAATAATGCATATTTTAAAGGTTTTTTCATTAAATAGAAAAACACTTCAATTGGCCCCAGCACTCTCAATAAGAAGTCTAAAGACTTACTTTAAACGTAATTTTAAAGCTTGTAACTGCCTTCAAATGTATGTGAAGTTTCATTAGTATCCCGTAAGTATTTAACAAGTTATGATGATATTGAGTTCTTCACGAGCACGGCCTTAATGCACGCGGTGTTATTTGGCCACTGGATTGGATATATGAACTGAATGTTATGTCAATAATTAGTTGTTTAGATCAGTTGTATATCAGTAAAATTTCAGCTCAATACATTGGATAATTAATGAGATAATACTATGAAAGTCATTAGGAAGTGAATGACCGTGGTAAGCCGACCAAGTTTAGGTGGTTACGAAAAAGCGAAAACGCAGAACATTATGGTACCTTCTAAAATATGTAGGATAGTGTTATAAATTTAGTACAGACATGTACAAAAGTTTAAAAAAAAACTACATGATTATTCAAGATTTTTTATTGAAAGGTAAAATAATCATTTCAATTGAACTTTTACTTCCTTACTTATAAAAACTTGTGTTGCTTAGCAACCGATTAAACATCACCCGTCCTTGTCATTTCTATTTCAAAATGCAGTTCAAAAATCATCTAAAAGGTTACAAAAGTAACCTTCTGGCAAGACTGAGTGCGTTATGCAAACAATGTATTACCCCTTCACCCCACTCCTCCTGCGTCCTACCGAACGGCATGCTCTAGCGGTGATTTTTGATAATTTTGTGGAACTGGAAGATAATGTTTTCTTTTATATTATTATTATATAGGTATTAAACAGTGTACGCGTCTGTACCAAAATTGTAAGGTGTATTATACTGAACATTTCAAAAGATAGTACAATGTTCTGCGTTTTCGCTTTTTCGTAACCACCTAAACTTGGTCGGCTTACCACGGTCATTCACTTCCTAATGACTTTCATAGTATTATCTCATTAATTATCCAATGTATTGAGCTGAAATTTTACTGATATACAACTGATCTAAACAACTAATTATTGACATAACATTCAGTTCATATATCCAATCCAGTGGCCAAATAACACCGCGTGCATTAAGGCCGTGCTCGTGAAGAACTCAATATCATCATAACTTGTTAAATACTTACGGGATACTAATGAAACTTCACATACATTTGAAGGCAGTTACAAGCTTTAAAATTACGTTTAAAGTAAGTCTTTAGACTTCTTATTGAGAGTGCTGGGGCCAATTGAAGTGTTTTTCTATTTAATGAAAAAACCTTTAAAATATGCATTATTTTGGTTTTGTTATTGCACAACAAATTTAAACTAAGTCCTCGGAAGTCGTGTACAAAATATGATAAGAATCCGCTTAACCATTTCAAAGATCTAGCAAAACCAAAAACGTTACCGCAGCAAAATCTCGAATAACTTCGCAACCGAAGAAAGAACAAATACAAAATAAGGCACAACATTTACTTTATCTAGACAACTAATTATATAGCCAATATTTATTTAAATATTCCCATTAGAAATAAAAAGGTCTGGCTGTGGTAACGTTACGCCAGCAGGAAATGTTTTTGTGAAATAATTAAAAAACTATAAGCGCAACAAATTTAAAAATGTGCGCAACAATTACAGAAGCCGCACAACTAATTATCTATAAGATTCAAATGACCATTGTCGACAACATCTGGCCTGGGTAACGGACACCACAAATACACACTAATTTTTGGATACATCTCTTTTCTTCTAAAGTCTATGGATTAAAAAAAGTTCCGCCAGGACAACGTTCGCCCAGCGGAATCAGTTTTTGGTGAATTTCTCCACAATCGTTGCGTGCACAATTTTTTTTTTACCATACACAATTATACGACGTCATACACTAAATATCTGCATAATTAAAATCTTTAAATTCAACAACATTCCGCTGCACGAACGCACGCCCGAAGCTTGGCTTTCCCGAATTTACTAGTTTTAGGAATGAAACATTTTTTCCTTTTAAAAGGATGAGCAGTTTTATATTCATGGTTTGAGTACGGTTCTTTCTTATTGTTTTTTTTTCAGGGAACAGTTATTTTTATACTCCTTTTTTTGTCATCTTTATTCTATAATGTTGCTTGTTAACAATTCGACAATGTTTTGTATTTACCTATATAACTATAATTAAAGCTGGTCCTTTCGTCCCTTTCGTCTCCACTGCGCGATTTTGCGACCAAAACCCGACCCGAGAGGACGGAGTATCGCGTTCAGCGCTTGCCTTAGTGAAATGAAACCGCCACGAATCAATGGCTTATCGGCACCATTCCTTTGGGTAATATCTCTGCATCACCCAAAGGAATGGTGCCGATCAGCCAATGCCCGCCGGTGTTGCGAGTGCAAGCGGAATTCTGTGCCGCGCCTCCGGCTCACAATAGGAGAAAGAAACCCCTGATGATTTTCCCCTCACAACAATACCGTTCCCACACTGCGATGACCGATTAACGTTATTGGTGCATTTAAAAATTCTCAATACCGATATATCACACAAACCCAGCACAACAGTTATAGGTAAATTAACTAATTAGGCAGCCATTGAACAGTAATTATTGATCGAAATGCATCAAGCTGTGTCGTGCAACTGGGGAGCTTATGTCCAGATGTGGACATACCCCATGATGCATGTAAATCGCAAATATAGAGCAAGTCTTGTACATCACAATCTATTTGACACAAGTACAGAAAGTCATCACCTGGATAGGTATTTTGAAAACATTCAAGATAGGTACCTACCTATACTGTTCTCGATGTTTGAAAACAAATCCTGAATTCCTAGCACATGAGTACTTAATTATAACTTCGTGATGATTCTATCTACATAAGGTTTATCCCGTCGTCCGCAGTGTGGATATATAGTATATGTATAGTAGACGAACAGAACCCAGTCGTCCCAGTCCCAGTCGTCCGCAGCGTGGATAAACGGGGACAAATCCTAATATGTTGCTTGTTTTGTGTACCTTTTAATTATCTCTGCATCACCCAAAGGTTTGGCTGTTAGAGAATGAATAAAGATATTAAATAAATATATATCTGGAAGTAGTACCAAGGTGTTCGCCTACAAAGTATGGAGCTGAAAGTAGAAACGAATTTGGCAGAGATAAATTCGTCTAGAATATCACGTACCTAACTTTCTATTGATCCCGATATTATGGGTGATTCCTCTGACAAAAGTTATATCGTTAAAATAATAGGTAGTATACGAAAAATTTACGAATTTGACTATGTTATATAAATAAAAAAAAAATATATATTTAATGGAGAAAATTAAGATATTTTCTTGACTTTATCAAGGCGATAACACTGGAAGACCAATATATGCAGTTCAAGTAGGGTTCAATAATTATTCAAGAACAGGAATGTAGGTACTGAAAGCTTATAATATATCCAGACCATTAGACATTTGGTCGTTTTATGTCACGTGTATAACAAATTACACTAACACATATTTATTATAATAATACATATTTTTAATGTTCCAAATTTTATCAACAGATGGCGTTAACATCCTCAGATATAAGATTAAAATGCGGTTGCCCGCGGTATTTAAATCTTATCACAGGGTTTTCATAATTTGTACATATTTAAATTATTTTTAATAAAATATAATAGCTATACAAACATTAGTGTTACTGGGCTCACAAAACAGTAATAACGCAGGTTTTATGAAACAAATTAAGTAAGTATAGGTACTGAACAGTTTAGTTTTAATTTGTATCAATCTATTTGGTATTGACTTTATTAGATACCTAGTGAGTAATTTTGGTTAATGGTTGAGAGTAAATTAACTAGTAATCTTTTTTTGTTCGCGACACAGTTACGGGGCACCTACATAACTAATAATATGCGTAGCATTCCGTCACCGAGCAGGTCGTACTTGTGACAAACACCATCACCACCATTCTTGTTCCCCGCGGTCGCCAGTCGGCCAGTCCCGCCACTCTTCCGTTCCGCTCGGCAGTAGTGCGCTGCACGGACGATACTACGCTCGCTATCGACGGAAGAAAATGTGTGTCGCGTCCACAGTGTACTAGTATTGTAGTGGCAGTGCTCGTGAGTTACGCACGCGGACTTAGCTTTTTTAATAGAACGATCTACTCAAATAATGATGGCGCCCGAGACTGTGGTGACTACTGAACACAACAAACCCGCTGCAGCTTCACCTCAGCAGCAGGGCGGCGCGTTGGATTGGCTCAAACTCGACCTAAACTATTTCAAAACTCCACCAGGCTTGTTGAAAATAATACAACTTGTAAGTACCTATTGTTTTAACTAACTGTGCCGACTTCTAGCCATACTTTGATGCTGTTTACGGATTTAATAAAGTAAATGATAAAATTTTATGCAACTTTTAAATAGAACTGACTCTAAGCGTCTCTATTAATATTATTACTTCCCTTCTAAATTTTAGTTAGCTACTGAAATAAATAGTTTGTCTTAACACCGCGACTATTACATTTTCAGGACCTACATAATGTGTATTAATAGAAAGTAGAGTGTCACAGTGAAGTTTATATGAGCGAATTTTAGACATTAGATACTAAACAATACGCAACTGATATTAGCTTAAATATTATTGTATCTCTATAAGATGCATCGTATAGGTGTGCCATCAAAGTGACAGGCGCACGTACCGTGAGAGCAAGTAGGAGCAGAAGCATAATGTGTTTTATGCATATGAGTTATCGAGGTCATAAAACGTTGCATATTATAGCTGAGAATGCTTTTTGGTGTCGTGGAGGTCAGTAGGCAGCAAGAGGCAGCGGGGCGCGGCCGGCGCGGGGGCTGACGCCGCAGGTTGTACGCCGGCCCGGTACATGCGGAGGAGGCGAGCAAATCTTACTCCTCCATTCACCAACGCTATGCAACAACTAATACTAATCATGCACACAACATACACTGAATATCCTAGACAAGCTAAATGAAACTGCAATTGCGATTAGGTACCTATACCTACTTACTGTACTTATTTATATGCGCCGTCTCTTTATAATTTTTTACGTCACTTTATTATTTTTTATCCACAGTAACTACTTGGAAAATAATAACAATCCTGAAGAAAACTATTTTAAAATTCGAAAAATATATACCTAGGTATGAAATGGTACCTTAAACCTAGAGCCGCGGCTCTAGGTTTACTCTACAAGCATTCATACATCGATAAAAGCCGCGAACTCGTACCTGTATAAAAAGAAATTAACAGTTGCTTTAAAGAAATACCTAACAGTGCCTATACCTATCTTATAAACATTAAATTTATTGCCACTAGGAAAAATACCAGTTCAACAAAAAAAAAGGAAAAAACTGCTCGCTTCTTAATAAATTCTTACACGGGACCCACAACAGGTAAAGATGGGTCTTCACTAGGTTTAACACCAATGCAATGTTCTGTATAATGTCGATAACTTGGATAAGTTAAGAAGTCGACGTCTCAGGTTTATGTTGACTGCTGAATATGTAGTTAAGTTGTTGCATTTGTATGACATTTTGTTATTCTTGTATCGTGTTGTTTTTCTCTCGGAGGTTTCTATGACGTAGTCTAATGAAGTCATTCCATATAAATATAATTTGTACTTGAACAATCTCATGGAATGTTTAATATTTACTCGTCCCGTACGCATCGGCTGTACATCATTTATTGATTCTAATTTCAATGTTTTTTTTTAATATTTAATTTTGCTATCGCGGCGTCTAATCTTATTTATCGGATGTGATAAAACTTAAGTCAAGAGCTTAGTCATATGAAACGTGTTGTTTTTGTTTGGTTGACATTGATTTTCAGGTTTGCCATATGGAATTAAAAATTATAAGCATAATTCATTCCAATTGTAAATTGGTGCAACGTAATACCTAGATGGGGCAACAGATGAACAGATAGCTAAACCCCATGCAAAAAAAATATATATATCGTAAGTTGAATCGTCAATATTTTCTTTAAAAATCGGTTAGGAAATGCCGTCTTTATCCATGTATCGTAAATATATAGAGTTACGGCTTTCTGACTAAACTTATTACAAGTTATAAATGTAATTCAGTATAAGATATCATAATAAGCATTATACATAAAGTTCAATTATTGCTTAATCAATAACTAGATAAAATATTTATGAATTAATGAATAGGTAGTTCGCCTCTTTACAAAATTATAGCTCGTGTAGTTTCTTTGACTATCAAGTTTAGCATTAGGTACCGTAAATGCCCAGGTAATTAAAAATTCTTTAGGAAATTACTATGTTCTTTTTCCGAGAATATTTTGTGGTGTACGCTTTATAGCAACAAATTAAAATTCAAAAGTTTAAATATAAGTAAGTATATGTATATAAAATAAAATTGTAATTGAAAGTATTTTTAAAAAGTCTTTATTTTCTTGCCGCTGAATCAGTAAGGAGGTGAGACAAATAGGAAGGATCACCTTTTATAAACTTTAATACGAAACATTCGTCATATTTGTCTGGGCGTGTGTTCGCCTTCGCCTACTCGAGCTCAACGTGCTGATATCATCGTTCGTCCTTGCCTCAGCCCAATAATACTGGTGCCCATATAAGTATCACTAATATTTGAACAATACTTTCAGTTGGGCATACTTTATTTCTTATAAGGTTAGAACCTTTTAATCCAGCTATGTCTAAGTAAGTAGATACTGAATCGTATTCAATAAGTATTCGATAATAATTATTCGAGTTATAATTTCGTGATTTTACCTGACTGGCAATAATTAGATACACTATGGTACCTTTTTAACCACGTGATATAGTAGTGCTGCACTGCAATAACGGAATTACAATGAATGCAAGTTCGTAACTGTAGTTTAATCAGTAAAGTCACGTAATATTGTTAACTTCCTCCTGTTAGTCTTTGGATTCAATTACATTAATTGTACTAATTAGAGCTCTTATTAATTTATCCTTTCGGATTACTAGGCTAGATACGTGTTTAATAAATGTTAGGAATGATGAAAATGATCTAACTTCATCCAAGTCTGGATGTCGTTATGAGAGTAAACTTATTAAAATAAATACATATTCATAATTACGCAGTGTCATATTCACGTTATTCATTATTTCACCAATACCTTTCTTAATGGGAAGTTATTACTTACAAACTACTTATTAGTTAAGTTGGAGCCATGTGGACCAAGAATCCCTAATGTTGAGCTAAATATATCTCAGAGAACACGTGCAGTCGATCTCTTTGATTTAACAATGCATTTTGATCTTGAAACTAAATTTAGTTAGGTACTGAAGGAAACATAAACTGAAATTCCTTTCAAATAACCTTCATTTTTTAGGCAATTAATATCATACCTAATACCTTATATCGATTTCAAACGCTAGACAACAGCTTTTTGTGAGGGAATAAGTACTCTAGCAATAAATAATAAGGTAGTAAAATTTATTTAAGACGTCTGGAATACAGTAGAAAGTACGTACGTTTAGCTAAATAAACTTTATTTATAGTACGTCAAGATGTAAAGGAAAACATTATGTGACTAGTGCGCAGGCTCGAATGGTAAAAACTTACAAATGCAGCTTTCGCTTTCACATTACGTGACATTACCAGATTCAGTGAAAAAATATTTATTCTACATTACAAAAAAGAGTCAGACACGTGACAATTAATTGAATAATTACGTCTTTATCCTTTGTCGGCGGAATATCTGAGTTAAGCTCAAAATTTTGCAATAGTGTAGGTACATAAATTCGTACATCAGTTATCAGCAAATCAAATAACAAATATAGGTTAGTGATTGTTATCGTGTACTCCATCGGTTATACTCATACACCAGTTCCGAACAGTGAAACCAGAAATGTCATTCAACTGTGACCTTAGCCGTTGGCAGCACTATCGTCGGCGTAGCCCGATAAACGTTCAAAGAAAGAAATTAACGAATTCAATCCAATTGGAAAAGACCGTGAAAATAATTCAAATCTTACAAAATGAAAGAGAGAATCTATTCTACATAGTCTTTTTAATACAATGTAAGAGTTATCGAATGGGCCAATTCATAAGACAAAATGTATGTAGGTATCCATTCATCCGTGTATGTATCAAAAACACCGCTTCGTTTCCGGCTACTGAAGATACAAGTTACGATTCATCTGTTTTTGTAAAGGGATGTACTAATTCTGGACGTAAACGAGAAACAAGCTTGGTATAAAATATTAAATGTGTTTGTAATACTTGTTAGGTTTACGTAACCTACTATGAATATCCATGAACAAGCATACGATGACACATATACGAAGATTGTACCTTTGCATTAATTCAGTCGAGGTAAACTTTTTGCTTACCATTAATTCCTTCCAATTTTAAAACAACATCAATCGATTTTCTTCATATCTTAGGTACGATGTTTTTGTCTAAATAGTTCTTTGACGAATGATAGGTACCTAACGATTGAAGAATTTAAATTGGGTACGAGGTAATGGTTTAAAGTTATAGCCATTATAGTTTTTTTCTTTTCATCAATATTACAGTAAAAAGTAATTAATATTGATGAAAAGAAATATTATCAATAATCACACTGTTTTGCGTAGATTAAAGTGTTAAACTCAAGAATTACTGAAGCTGACTAGTGTAACACGAACAAATTATAGTGAAACATCTGGCTAGGTAGCTGCATCGCTCTAATATTAGGTATCCGTTACAACAATGTTTATTGTTTTCTTTTACCGTTTTTTACCCTTTGTTGCGGCTGCAGATAACGTATACCAGCGATTCAGACGATAAATCTCTGATAGTGTAATAATAAGTATAACGTTAATACAACAATAGAAATGGCAATGGCCATATGAGTACCAAGAAATATTTCGCAGAGATTATAGGTACTTAGGGTGTTTACAACAGGACTACGGAAAACAATAAAAGTTCATAAATTGCATATTAATATTACGCTTCTAAAAGGAGAAAGATACAGTTCGGTGAACGGAACAAGATATGATATCGTTTGGAATATGTATTAAGTGAAAAAATAACAAGCATATTAACAGACGATTAAAATTTTGCATTCGTAGCTTATTCGAGAGCGACATCGGTGAAAGTTGGCATCAAAATGAAAGTAGTACTGTCAACATGTGGTCCGCCATTGGCCATGGCCGGCCACCGTCGTACCTTCGTCTTTGACTCGACGCAGGCCGGTGTGACAACTTGTCGTTTTCCCATCATTTCAATCGCTCAATAATTTGTACTCGCGTGTATTCAGAATCGGTTTCACTAGACGTAAAGTTCTAAAACTAAGCCAACTGAGCTACG